ATTGGCTCCTGCTTGTCTTTGCATTCTGTGAACTCCTCACATTCTGTACATTGTCACCTCCTCTGACCTTTGCTGCAAATGCTTGCAGCCTGGACTCCCTCTCAGTGAGTGTCCCTTAGGCTCTGCTCACCCCTTCTCCGGCTTTCTGAAGCCTCACCGTGGCCTGTGTCTGCCTGCAGTCCTTACCAAGCACTCTCCCACCCCACCCCACTCCTGCTTCCACAGCCTCCTCTGGGCTGTGCTCTTCCTTCTCCAAATCCCTGTCTGTACCCGGTAGTTGGGTTGCACCCTCCTTGATGTGTGGTTCTACCATCTGAATGCCCATCTCTTCTCCCAGGGAAGACTTGGGGCTCCCTGAAGGCAGATGCTGCCATTTACGATGAGGATGGTAACAATTCTGACACACAAGAAGTGTGTGTGTCAGAATTCCTTACATCCCAGGCCCCGAGTTGGGTGCTATAACTAATTATCTCATTTCACGTTGACAATAGATTTATGTGAACCCATTTGACAGATGAAAAGACTAAGATTGAGTCGGCAAGACCTTCCTAGCTGCAAAGTGATAGAGCAGGAATTCTCACTGCATCTGGCTGGCTGCAAGCCCACCAATTTCACTCCCCTACACACCCTTTGCCACCGTCATTGCTCAATTCAAATGTCCTTGTGTGTTCTTTACACCGAGTCCTTATTCCTTGGTGCCTCCTGCCCAAGTGAGAGCGAGTATTATCTTCTCTGGAAGAGGTACCGAGGGTTTGGTTTCCTCTGAGCCCAGAGTGTTGGGTTGGATGAGAATACTCAAAGCGCCGTGTGCTCTCCCACCTCGGCTTTCTTTCCTCTATGCACCTCTCCCTCTTGACCCTTTCCCTGGAGATTCCTAAGCAGCCAGAGGCTTCTTGCAGGACTATCAGGGTCCGTGGCACCGCAGATAGATAAAGATAGCGCTTGACAGAGTTGGTAAGAAAATAGAACTAGGGAACAGCAAAAGACCCCAAGGAGAGGATCCAGACTGAAGACAGGGCCTCCCTGGCTTTCACACGGCATCCGGACCCTTCCTTCACACAGACCCCCTCCCCTTCCCCCAATCAGAATCCGTGCTCAGGGGCCCAAGCCCTTGGCTAAGCTCCACCCCTCTCCCGGCATCCTAAAGTTTGGGGGCTATATTCAAGTCAGAGATTTCCAAGTAGGGAGTGTGTTGGAGGGACTTTTAAGGGCAGCTTGTCCTGGAAGGATGGGGGACAGGCGGCAGCAGCTGCTGCCTCCGGGGATGGCTGTGTCGCTCCCTGAGAGACCCTCTGCCCTCTCCCCTCCCAGCCCAGGCGCGCAGGGACTGAGCTCGCTTATTATCACCTGACGCTGCGCAGCCACTGATCCCATTGGTGGAGCCAGATTCGGTCTGGCTCTCTCGTTCCTTCTCGCCTTCTCTGCCTCTCTCTCTCTCCTCCACGCTGCTTTGATTTCGCTCTTGCCTCTCCTCTCGCTCTGGGCTGGGAACATCATCTCAGTCTCACCGGGGGCAGCCGCCGCAGCAGCAGCAGCAGCAGCGATTGAAGAGCCAGACGGGAGCTGCCTGCGGGGCATGGAAGCAGGCTCCCTGGCCGTGGGGAGCGGAGCGAGACCGCGCCGCTGCCTGTGACCCAGGCGTCTGGCCGCTGTCCCCTGCCTGGGGAGCTTGTCCGCACAGAGGTCTCTCCCTTCCCTTCCTCTCAGGTCTTCCTCTGCAGAGCCCAGGGGAGCCAGGTGAGTGCTCCTCTCAGAAGCGTCCTGCTATGGTTCCTGAGGGGCTGGGAGCTGGGGACACTGGGGTCCTGTCGCTGCCCCGGCTGCCCACTTGGATTTCCAGGCCCGATGCCCTTGCCCCCTTTCCCCCGGGTCCTCAGCAAGGGGATTAACAGCTGGATCCAGTCTCTGGGGCACCACAGTTAGTCACCCCGTGACCATTCTGCTGCAGTCAGCGATGCCAGCAGGGACGGCGGGTGGGGGAAGCTTTCCCTTTGGCACAGGCGACTTTTCTGAACGGGCACAGGGAAGGGGTGTCAGTGCGTGCGGCGGTGTGCCCCGGTGGCTCGCTGCGCAGGTGGGTCTGTGTGCGTGCAGGCTGCTCATGGGTGGATTTTGACTGGTGTGAGAAATGCCTAGGACCCTATCTTGCTTACCTGAGGTATGGGGGGGGGCACTTATCTGAGTAGCTTGTGGCATGTGTGGGTGAGGGCATGCCTTTAGGCGTGGACATGTCATTTGCTGTGTGTGGGAGTACATGCTGAGGGAGGTGCATGCAACCAGGGGGCTTCTAGGTGGGAGGTGCAGCTCCAGAACAGGTCAGGGTGGGCAGTGGGAAGCGTAGGCAGAAGCCCTGGTCTGTGGCCAAACCTGCGTAGGTAGATGGACCTGTTGGCATGAAGCTTCAGGGCTGGCAGTATGGCCAGAGGCAAACACTGTCTCAAAGTCTGTGTCTTTGAGGTCTTTGAGCCTGGAGAAGACTGGAGAGAGAAGACCAGAATTCGGGCGGGGGCTGACGTGTGTGCCATCGCACATGTGTGTGCTGGCAGGCATGTGGGTTGTGTGCCTTCTTGTGGAGGTGGCAAGCACGCATGTTGCTGCCTGTGGCTGCCTCTTTTCCCCAAATATGGCTTTGCAAGAAGGTGTGCGTGAGCCTGTGGACACGAACACGTCTGGTTGCATGTGGAGGGAAAATTATGGGGCATTCTTAGAATGTGGAAGGTGGCTGAGACGTACCTGGGTGCGTGGGTGTGCGGGAGAGAAGCTGTCCGCGGAGGTGTGGGGCGCACGTGTGTGTGTGCGTGCCTGCCTGTGTGTGGGTGTGTGCCTGCTCCTCTGGGGTGGATCTGCAAGGGAGTGTGGGTGTCTCCAGGGTGTTGTCTCAACCCGTCCCTCATACCCTGCCCTTCCCTGGTCATCTGAGTATAGAGAAGCTGGGTTCACGCCCACCGTAGGTCCACCCTGGCCTTCTCACAGCCTGTCCGCAAAGCTTGGGTGGGGAGTGTCACCTCAGCTTTCCCAGAACCATGGGGAGAAAGAACAAACATCCACCCAGGTCCTGGAGACTCCAACCACCAAACATGGCTCCCCCTATTTCTGGGACAGCTCTGAAGGGAGGGGGTATCAAGGCAGGAATAGGAGCCTACTGAGGGGGCGGGTGTGGGCTGCGTCACAAATGGGCAGGAGCGTGTCTGTGCTCTTGGGCATGGATGCATGTGTGTGTGTGGGAGGGGCACACATGTGTCTCCCTGGGAGCTCCTCAGTGGGAGCCTGGGAAGTGGTAACTCCCCATTGCTCCACACCTGTCCCTAAGAATTACAAGCTGGTTTATTACTGAAGGGTTGTTTCTAGACACCCGATCCCATCTGTTTTATTTCAGGGTGGGCCCAGTAGCACTCCCATGCTTAGGTGCCATAGGATTCCCTGTGCACGAAGCCACTGACATTTGGCTGTGGGGTGGGACTTGAGTGACACCCTGGGGTAGGTGAGGGCCAGCAGCCTTAGCCTTCAACCTGAACCTGCCACCCAGGCAGCCCACAGGTTAATCTAGAGGTGCCAGGCTCTGGAGCAGCCTTAATTGACGGGAGAGTGTGGGTGGGATCTTCTGGAAGCTATAAATAAAAGTACCTGCTTTTGCAAGCACCCCTAGCTCCTAGGCAAGGGGAGGAGAAAAAGAGGGAAGAGAAGAGAGAAAGAGATGACACTTGGGAAAACAGGTGAGCCAGGAGCTGAGCTTGAGGAAAGGAAGGGAACATGAGACCAAATGCCGGCTGGAGAAAGCCCCACCCTCCCCTGCTCTCCTCCCAGACACTTCACTCCCTCTCATACTCCCTGCTTCCTCCGGGAGCTTTGGTCAGCCAGGCCAAAGCCAAGTCCAGAGTCAGCTCTTCCCAGATAAAGCACAGCTGAGATTGATGTTGGTGTGGCCCTTTCATACCTGGAAGAGCACCAGGCATAAAGGTAGAACCAAAGGAGCAGGAGAGGCAGGGGAGGGAAAATGCAATTGCTTGAAAGGACGAGATGGAAGGGGGACAATAGTGAAAATGCCACGTGCACCTATGCATGGACACCTGCCATGGGTGTGCCCTCCCACGCACACGAGGGGCCATGCCCTCAGCTTCATGATAAAGAGCTCTGGAGTTCAAATTGTTTGCTACTGTGTGGCCACAGGCAGGTTAGTACCCCCACCTTCAGTTGCCTCATCTGTAAAATGGGAATAATAATAGTACATCCCTATTGTGCAGCTTGCATGAGATGTTTGTGAAGTTATTAGCATGTGGTCAGTTCCTAGTAGATGTTGAGGTTAAAACTAATTATTGAAAAGAGTCAAGCCAGGATCAGCCGAAAGAAAGAGAGAGTGATTGTCAAAAATGTTGTAGGTAGAAAAAGAGTGTAAAGTGGGCTGTGGCCCCTGCTGTCCATTCCCACCATGAATATTTCCATGTGCACCTGTGTGGCTCTTGTCCTCCAGCTCTCCAGACCTTGCTGAGCCATCCCCAGAGAAGAAAGGGTTCGAACCCAAGGGTTCTGGCCTCAATTGCCACTGTTGTCACCTGCCCAATTAGTGCAACTTGGGTCCTCAGCAGGTGCTTCCTGCCTGTCCTCCACCCTCCCCTGTCTCTCCACCCCCACCCCCTTCTCTTTTCACGCCTGCTGGCTGAGGGCCTCCACCCTCCTCGTCTCCATCTGCTGCAAATCTGTCCCCACCCGGCTTTTGCCGTGTTCCCACTGCCTCTGCCACCTGTCAGGTGCCGTCTGCTCTGCAGACCCCTCCAAGGGGAGCAGAGAACTCCCCCCCCCCCGGGACACCCCTCCCACCTTCATTCTCCCCCCCTCCAGCTTTCCCTGTGCATTCTTTTCCATCAGATCTCTGAGGCTGGTGCATTGCCTGGGTCCTCACAGGGATATTAGGAAGAGAACATTCTAGAAAGTTCCATGGGGTTGAGGGTAGAGCTAATTCCTCCCCTCCCATCAGTCCCCGCAGGAGCCAAACCAGAGGGAGCATGGAGCTGCTGTCCACCCCCCACAGCATTGAGATCAACAACATCACCTGTGACTCCTTCCGCATCTCCTGGGCCATGGAGGACAGTGACCTGGAGAGGGTCACCCATTACTTCATTGACCTCAACAAGAAGGAGAATAAGAACTCCAACAAATTCAAGCACCGGGTGAGTAGAAGGTGCCCAGGCACCTCTCCTCAGCACCTGTTTTTGGAGGAGGGAGGATAATGGCACACCTGGAAGTGATGTTATGGAGTCAGAGACCTGGTTAACATCCAAACTCTTCTTACTGTGTCATCTTAGGAAAGTTACTTGGCCTCTCTGAGCCTGAGTTTGTTCCCTGGTGGAAAAGGAATAATAATGCCAACTCTCACAGGGTCACTGACAGGATTCGATGAGTAATGTTTGCGTGGTGCTTGGCATGGGGCCTGGCACAGCGGGAGAACTGTTATCAGCGACATGATTGGGACTTCAGACAGGGGCCGAGAGCCCGGGTGGGGTGGGACCGCAGGCATCACGTGTGGGGATGGTGTCTCAGGTCCTGACAAAGCCCAACTCGGGGAGCAGCCCTGTTGTTGGCTGGGTGGGCACCATGGGCTTCTGGCAGGGGTGGTGCCCAGCTCTCCCTCTCACCCACTGGCCTGCTGTTTGCTTGGTTTAGAAAAGGTATGTGTGAGAGCCCTCTTTGAGTGTGTCCTCTCCTGGGGTTACAAGCCAGGGTGGCAGTGGTGGGGGGAGCCTCCCATCCTCACAGGCTGGCAGAGGCAGGGGAGAGTGAGGCGGGAAGGAGCTGGCTCCCTGGACCACAGCGCTGGTGTGGGTTACTCACCCTCTCTCTCTGGAACTGGCTCTCCCGTTCTGGGTGTCTTTTGGCAGGCCAGTTGCCACGGTGACGTGAATGTTCAACACCACCCCCTTAACCCTCCTCCCCCCCAAAGAATAAGGCATATTTTTCCTTCCTCCCTGGCTTCTCAGCATTTGCGGTTGCCGTGGAGACAGCACTGCAGCAGTGTGCAGAGCTCTCCAAGTCTCCCTCAAAAAACCGAGGCCTTGCTGCCCTCAACTTTAGGGGCCCTCTCCCCTGAGGCCTTTTCCTTCAGTTCCCAAGAGAACAGGGCGCCAGGGGGCTCAACGAGGGGCGGAGGCTGGGGAGAGTCTTCCTGGTGGCCCCTGCTGGCTTCTGAAGGAAATGGTGGTCAGGACGTGGAGCTGTCAGATCCCCCACACTCTGGCCGTGCTCAGGAGGACCATTTTGGGAGCAGGGATGCCAAGATCAGGTGGGACCCCCCATTTGACTTCTGGCTGTCTGTCTCTACTCCATTTCTCAGGATGTCCCCACCAAGCTTGTGGCCAAGGCAGTGCCACTGCCCATGACAGTGAGAGGCCACTGGTTCCTGAGCCCCCGAACGGAGTACAGTGTGGCCGTGCAGACGGCAGTGAAGCAGAGTGATGGCGAGTACCTGGTGTCTGGCTGGAGTGAGACGGTTGAGTTCTGCACTGGAGGTAAGTCCCTGCTGTGACATTGCTGTCCTGCTGCTTTGGCACACATGGCTTAGTTGTGGTCAAGATGGGCTTTATGGTGACCCAGCAAACACTTATGAACCCTGCCGTCCACCAGGCATGAAGCTCAGACGTCAGGGTAGGGAAACCCTCCCTGCCTCAAAGAGCCTGCCTTTTCTCTCCTCACATCACAGGCAGATGGGAGACTGCTAATCGTGCTGGCAACACCACTTCCAAAAAAGGGATAGAATTACTTTCCTGTTCGGTGCAAGCATCTTTTTAAAACATTGCGGTAAAATTACGCATAACATAAAATTTACCACGTTGACCCTTTTTAAATGAACTGATCCACAGTTCAGTAGTGTTAAGTATATTCACATCATTGTGAGACCAATCTCCAGAACGTTCCCATCTTGGAAAACCAAAACCCTCTACCCAGTAAACAACCACTCCCCATTTCCCCCTTGACAACCCTTATTCTACTTTCTGTCCCTATGGGTTTGACTTCTCTGGGACCCCATATCAGTGGAATCATGCAGTATTTGTCCTTTTGTGACATTCACATAGCATGATGTCCTTAAAGATCATTCACATGGCACATATCAGAATTTCCTTCCCTTTTAAGGCAGGATGGTATTCCCTTGTATGGAGAGACCACACTTTGCTTATCAGTCATTGTAATCAGTGGGGCGATCATGTTTGGCTAGTCCTGTGCCTCCACTTAGCCTGAGAAAATGGACCCTGTTTAATGACCCTGCAAGCACCCTTAGTACGCATAGAACTAACCCGGCTGACTCTAGCATGAACAAACACCAGGCTTAAGTGTGCTTGGTCACCGATGACCCAGGATCTGCCCTAGGATATTCCATTCTTTTGGTGTCCACGGTGAGAACTGCTCCAGATCTCTCTGTCATAAGGAAGGGGCAGGGAACATTCTTAGCCCCAGGCCTCCGTGGCTGCTGGTTTCATCCTCTGCCAAGGTCTATGCCCCAAATCTCCTTGAATTGCTGTTGTCTTTTGAGTGGTGCTTTTTCCCAGTCTGCTGTGAAACCCCACTCTCTAGAGGCATTCCTACTCCTTGGGGGAAAAGCTTCTTGGTTTGCCTCCCATGTGTAGCGGATATTTATTCAAACCTAGGAGCTGTGGACAGCTGCACTCTTCTTGCCAATCCAAGCACTCTGGCCCGGGATGCATCAGCAAGGATGGAAGGGCACCTATTTCTAGTTTGTTACCAAGGTGCTGTGTAGGCTGGTAGCAGCCCTGCTTGAGCCTCAGGACCCCAGGGCCAGCCCCAGGCCCAGCTGCAGGCCCAGAGGGTTCAATTTTACTATCCTGTTTCCAGCCTTTTACCCTGTGTCTCCTGAAATGCTTAGGCAGAGGGCTACTGGTTAGGCAGAGGCCCAGCTTTCCCTGGATTCTTCATGACCACCCACCTGGAATCACTACGGGCTTCCAGGTGGTCAGCCTCTTATCTGCTGGATGTGGTGGTGGTAGGGGGCTCTCCCAAAAGGACCTCACACTCTGCCCTCTCCAGTTCTTCTTCTTTTTTTTTTTTTTTTTGAGACAGAGTCTCAAGCTGTTGCCCTGGGTAGAGTGCCGTGGCATCACAGCTCACAGCAACCTCCACCTCCTGGGCTCAAGCAAGTCTCCTGCCTCCACCTCCCAAGTTGCTGGGACCACAGGTGCCCACCACAATACCTGGCTATTTCTTGGTTGCAGCCGTCATTGTTGTTTGCCAGGCCTGGGCTGGATTCAAACCCCCAGCTCAGGTGTATGTGGCTGGCGCCTTAGCTGCTTGAGTCACAGGCGTGGAGCCCTCTTGAGTTCTTCTTTTGCCAGCCTGTGCTCTTTGCACACAAGGGTACTCTGGGATGACAGCCTCTGAGGCCCCAGTGTGATAACTGGGCAGCCCTCTGCCCCTTTCTGACAGCCTCTGGCAGCAAGGATGCAGAGGTGATAAGAACAAGCAGTGTGTGGCTCTCCCTGTCCCCATCAGACAGAGATTGGCCTGACATGTACTGTGGGGTGGGAGTGGAGGGACAGGAGCATTTGTGACCACTCAGCTGGCCTGGCTCACCTCCCCCACCTGGGCTCTTACAGATTATGCTAAGGAGCACCTGGCCCAGCTGCAGGAGAAGGCCGAGCAGATCGCAGGCCGCATGCTTCGCTTCTCTGTCTTCTACCGCAACCACCACAAGGAGTACTTCCAGCACGCCAGGTCCGGCGGGGCTCTGGCCTCCCCATGCCTTCACATCATCAGGCTGGCTCTGAAGTGACCCTACTTGGGGTTTGGGCAAAGGGGAGGTGTGGGCTCTAGGGACAGGGGCCATCTGGCTCAGCACTGTACTAACAAGCTCAGGCAAGTGAGACTCAGGCTTTGATCCTTTCATGGGGGTCTGCCCCCACTGGGCCCAGGGCAGGTAGCAAGGAGAGCACAGAATGAGAGAGCTCTGAGCACCAAGACTTCTAGGCAGCACCCAGCTCAGTGGCTCTAAACTGGGCACTGGGGAGGCTGCTGGAGTGGGGAGGGAATCAGTGGATGGGCCCCACACCCACTGTTCAGCAGCCACCTCAATGTATTTGCCTATGTCCTGCCTATGTATAATTTCCTTTGAAGAAAAAGAGAGGGGATCTGCCATCCGAAAATATTAGAAATGTGGTGATCTGATCCAACACTCCAGAATACAGATGAATGTGAGGCCCAGAGAGAAAGTGGGTTGTTGTCTGGTCGAGCCAGCAAGTCACTTGTCACTCAGGACAGCCAGGACAAGGCAAGAGTGAGACAGCACCAAGGGGTGTCCACCCTCCTCCGTGCCTGCTGACATTGCTCCAAGTCTGTGTCCTTCTGAAGCTCGGCCAGGGCGAGCTGCTGCTCTGATTGTCTTTGTCCATATGGTCAGCTGGGGTGAGGCATTTCAACCTTACCTTAGGGCAGTGAGGGCCTTGGGGGCTTTGGTGGTGGTATTAAAGAAGAGAGGCAGTGGCCCATGTGGAGCTTTGTCACCAGTGAGAAAGAGGGAGACAGGGAGCACCCATGTGTGCCAGGTAGCTTGTTTGGTGCCAGGACATAAAGATAAAGGCACAGTCCACCTTTTTTTTTTTTTTTTTTGAGACGGAGCCTCAAGCTATCCCCCTGGGTAGAGTGCCATGGCATCACAGCTCATAGCAACCGCCAACTCCTGGGCTCAAGCGAGTCTCCTGCCTCAGCCTCCCAAGTAGCTGGGATCACAGGCACCTGCCACAACGCCCAGCTATTTTTTGGTTGCAGCCATCATTGTTTGGCGGGCCCGGGCTGGGGGTTCGAACCCGCCGCCTTAGGTGTATGTGGCTGGCGCCTTAGCCGGTTGAGCCACAGGCGCCAAGCCAGTCCACCTTTTTGAGGACAGAGTCAGTCAAGTAGATAGTGTGGAAAGATTTAATGCAATGAGTATATGTGACTGCTGAACAAAATTCCGTGTCTTGCATACAGTAGGTGGCCACATATTTGTCAAATGTGAGAGCCTGTGGTCCCCAGCAGGTTTTTGAGAGTAGCAGACACTAGTTCTGGGACTAGAAGGATGATGAGGAGTTTGCAAAGCCAGGTGGAGGTGGGTGGGCAGGGAAGTCAGTCTGGGCAGGTGGGAGAGTGTGGAGGCAGGTGGGCAGGTGAGTATTAGGAGATGGGAAATGACAAGGAAGCCAGAAAGACCAGACGGTGTGGACCCTTACTTTTGCAAGGTCATTAAAAGGTTTCAAGCTGGCGAGGGACAGGTTCAGGAGAAGTGGGGCTCTCCCTGCTCTTACATTCTGCAATTGCTTTACTTGTGACTAATAGGAGTGGCCGGGGGGAGGGCTGGGAGCTGGGCTGGCCCTCTCCCTTCATGGCCACGTGTAGTCACCAAGCCTGAGCATCTTCTCTCCCCGGGTGGCAGGACCCACTGTGGGAACATGCTCCAGCCCTACCTGAAGGACAACAGTGGCAGCCATGGCTCCCCCACCAGCGGCATGCTGCATGGGGTCTTCTTCAGCTGCAACACCGAGTTCAACACGGGCCAGCCACCCCAGGACTCCCCCTATGGCCGCTGGCGCTTCCAGATCCCAGCCCAGCGCCTCTTCAACCCCAGCACCAATCTCTACTTCGCGGACTTCTACTGCATGTACACGGCCTACCACTATGCCATCCTGGTGCTGGCGCCCAAGGGCTCCCTGGGGGACCGCTTCTGCCGTGACCGCCTGCCCCTCCTGGACATTGCCTGCAACAAGTTCCTGACCTGCAGCGTGGAGGATGGGGAGCTGGTCTTCCGCCATGCCCAGGACCTCATCCTGGAGATCATCTACACCGAACCCGTCGACCTGTCCCTGGGCACCCTGGGGGAGATCAGCGGGCACCAGCTCATGAGCCTGTCCACTGCCGATGCCAAGAAGGACCCCAGCTGCAAGACCTGCAACATCAGTGTGGGCCGCTAGGGACTCCCAGGGAGCTGGGGGGCAAGGGAGAGATGACCGGAAGGTGGAGAGGGGTGGCCCAGGTCCAGGGAGCTGGCTTTCTCTCCCCTGCACCCCTGCTCCCTCTCCCTGCCCCTTGGCACTGAGGCAACAGATGGTGGTCCTCTTGGTAAGTGTGGCCCACCCCAGGCCTGGTGGACTTGGCAAGGCTTCTTGGCTTCAGTAGGTTGGTGGGTGGGTTGGATCTCTGGAGAATCTCCCCTTTCCTCTGGCTTCCTCGTCCTGCTGTTCTGTCTCACCTGAGCCTCCGACTCCCCAGGACTGCCCGCCTGTGGGGCTCTCCCAGGGAGCCTCTCCGGAGGAGATGCGGAGAGCTGTGGGGTGCTCTTCTTCAGCCCCAGCACCCACTCAGGGCCGACCATAGAATGCCCCCCATTGAGCTGGGCCTCAGGGCTTCCTGCTGTAGGCCTGGGCCCCTGCTCCTATAAATAGCTCCTGCACCGCCATGACGTCCTGGCTTCTCCTGGCCCTAGAGAACCCTCTTCCTGCATGGGGGAGCTGTCCCTCTCTTTCTCCACCTGCCCACCAGGGACACTCCTCCTGCTCTCTAGAAAGAGATCCTCTGTTTTTTTGCCTTTGGGAGCTTCGGGCTGCTGGGATTTTTCCTTCATTCTACCTGGAGATGACACATACCCCAGTACACCTTCTCTTTTCTCGGAGCGCTGGAGTTTGGGACAGCAGCCTCTGGGGTTGAGGAGGGGGAAGGAGTCCCCTGAGACCCAGAGGCATCCCTTCTTTAGCTGGGAGTGGGCCACTTCATGCCCTGATGGGGCCTGGCATGGAACTGAGGGCTTTCCCGCAGAGTCCTGGCACCCTGCCTGGCTGTGCACTTTGCTCACTCTGCCACAGGGCAGTGACTATGCCATGCCCGCACGTGACCTGGGCTGCGGATCCTCTGCCACCCATCATTCCACCCCTGCACGCTGGCCTGTCTGCTCCCCTGGCCACTCCACGGGCTGGGAGCCCCTGCCCCCCTGCCTTGGGAGTTCTTGGTCAAGTCTTTCCTGGGCCTGCCTGCTTTTCCCCACGGTTGTATGGGGCAGAGGGCAGTGAGGCTGGACTCCCTGAGAAGAGCAGAGCAGGTGTAGAGCCCAGGGAAGGTGCTGTTGGAGGCGGCATGCTGCTTGTGGGATGATAGAGGTGACAGCAGGTGGAGAAGAGAGCAGCCCCCACGGTGACTTCCTCAGAGGTGACAGAGACTACAGGCATGCAGCTGGAGTTCTGTGGTGAAGGACAGAAGCGGCTGGCAGGCCAACAAGGCTATGCCTCAGTGAGGGGCAGGGGACAGCCGGAGGCCTCTCTGCAGTGGCAGAGAGTGGTGTGGGTGGCTCAGGAGGCCTGGAGGCTCTGGGAGATGCGTGGAGAAGGAGAGAACACGGGCCCCAGGCCCTTCCCCCTGTGCTGACAGCATTGCTGTAGGGGTGGCCCACTGTCCTCCCTGTCCCCGCATCCTCCCCAGGCTGGGGCACACCTGCCTGTGCTGTGCTTGCGATGTGTATCAATAAACCACCATGGCCTGAGGGCCTCGTCTGATGTAGTCCCTTCCAGCTGCTGCAACAGAATACCAGGACCTGGGTGGCTTATGCTCATCAGGCATTTGTCTCTCACAGTTCTGGTGGCTGAACCGAGATCAAGGTGCTGGCAGATTTGGTGTCTGGTGAGGGCTTGCTTCCTGGTTCATAGACAGCCATCTGTTCACTGTGCCTTCACGCAGTAGAAGGGCAAACTTGCTCCCTTGGGCTCCTTTTATTACTATAAGAGCACTAATGCCATGTGTGTGGGCTTCACCCTCGTGACCTAATCACCTTCCAAAGGCCCCACCTCCTAACCCCATCACCTTGGGGAGTTAGGATTTCAACCTATGAACCTGAGGGAGACACACATTCAGGCTTCAGACTGCCTCTCTTTGGGTCCTGGGAGGGGTAGGGTGGGTGAGTTGCACAATCCACAGAGGAGATCAAAGGGGGATACCCCCAGGACAGGCCACCTAGGATCATCTCCAAGGAAGCACCTATGTCCCGCTGGGAGCCTGGGCACAGGGGACAAAGTCACATCTCCAGTGTGGAAGGGACCTTGGAGTCCTTTTGTTCCACCTAGAGCTTCCCCTGTGAGGAAAGAGGCTCCGAGGGGAGGACCTTAGCAACCTGGAGGCCTCATCAAGGCCCCCAGCCCCCGTTTGGAGCCCTTCAGGCTGGAGCAGGCTGCCACCGCATCAGACCATGGAATTTCCCTCCCCAGAGAGCCTGAATGTGCCCTCCCCCCTTCCCCGCAGGGCTCACCATGTACATTGCTGAGTCAGCTCTGCATCTGCTGTTAGGGACATACTGACATGGTCCTATCTGGAGAAGGAAAGCTTCAAAAAAGTCAAAGGCACCTCAGCAGCACCACCTGACTCCAGTCCACATGAATATGTGTCATCCAGAGCTTGGCTGCAGCCTCTTTGGGAGACAGAGAAAAGCTAAGGGCAGATGTGCCTGGGGGGATGTCGCTATGCACCAGTCACCTACTACGGGCTGGTGCTCACCCTCATCAGCTCCTTTGGCCTTCACGATGGCCCTGGGCAGTAGTATTCCCACTTAATAGATGAAGACACCAAGGCACAAAGAAGACCACTCACCTCTTAAGAGCAGCGGTTCTCAACCTGTGGGTCGCAACCCCTTTGTAACAATGAAAATACATCGTGGCATTAGGAAGGTTGAGAACCACTGACTTACAGCCAGTAGACAACCGTGCCCAGGTTTTGACTCAGAGACTGGAATCTTCCCAGTTTCTCACCTGTGCCTGTCTCCCCTAATGTGTGCTGGGGCCACCTGGCAGTAAGATCCAGGCAGTAGTCCTCCTGGGGCCTTCTCCATGCTGCTTCTGGCTACCCAAGACCTTGCCTAGTTCCCAAATACCGCCAGGGGGAGCTATGGAGTCACAGAAGCCAGGGAGGCTTGTTCTAGAGAAGGGAGCACAGCAGAAGATGGGTGGGTATGACTCAGATCCACCCTCCTGTCTCTCAAGGCCTGCACAGGACTCCCCTATACCCAGTCAAGAGGTTTCCCGAGTTCTCCAGAGGCGCAGGCTCAGTCTTCCTTGTGTAAACCTGTCTTGGTTTCTTGGGAGGGGATTGTAGTGGGAGAAAGGCAGTGAATGGAGGTAGGAGAAGGGGTCCCTGCTCTGTCCAGATGGCCAGTCCCTGGCACACGGCCAGCCCTGGGCTGTTTGAAGCATAAGTCAGACATAGCAGGGTCAGAGTATCCACCAGAGTCCACTGGAGGCCTCACTAAGGCCTCCGGTCCCCGTTTGGAGCCCTTCCAAATGGTGTAGGGGAGGACTATGCAGGCCTGCAGAGAGAGGAGGGTGGATCCCAAGTCATTCCCTGTCTTCTCCTGTGCTGGTCTCTCTACTCCTCCCTGGGGTCCTTTCTGGCCTGGGGTCAAATGTGACCTGGGGGAAGGAGCTACTCTATGTGGGCGTGCACATGCCCAACCCCCTGCACTGGATTTAGAGGCCAGCCTAGGAGGCCATGGAGAGCCCCAAGGTGGGGGACAACCCTGAACCATAGCTGCCCCCATCCAGCTGAGTGTCTCTGAGTTGGCTCTGTCTGCAGTCCAGGCAGAGAGGGAAAATGAGGCAGTAGGGGAGGCTCCAGGTTCCAGGCAGGGTGTTCTGTGGCACAGGTGTACATGCACACACATGTGGTGGCACACACTTGTACAACTGGGATGTACTCCCCTGGCCACACCTTCTGTGGGTCCCATTCTTCCTGGGCTAGCAACTATCCTGGGTGTATGAGAGTCCCTTGCCCTCCACAAAGTGGAGGCAGGTAGGAGCCAGCTCTGAGGACCCTCAAGGTTTCTTTGGCCTCAGTGTGTGTCCCTTCTCCATGTTAAGAAAAGAGGTGCTGTTAAGGAAAGGGACCAGGAGGGACCATTCCCCCAAATGGAGGGAGGCCTTCAGGAAGCCGAGCTGAGGTGATTGGCCATAAAACAGCTTGGCCACAGCATCTGGAAGAGATTGGAACCAGATGTTCACAGGGTGGGGGAGGGGACAGTGGGGGGAAGGCAGGGGCTGGGGCCTGAGACCAGCAGCCCTGGTTGGCAGGAGGCTGGGGTAGGGGTAGGGTTGGGCTCCTGGTTCTCTGGGGAAAACATCTGGCTGCCCTCTCCCCAGCTCTCCCAGTCAGGCACTACTATTTTTGCAAACTGGAGCAGCAAATCTTTTCACAGATCTTAGAATCAGCCTTGTGCGCGGGGACAGTCAAGTACAGGGTGTGACTTGGGAGGTGACCAGAAAGGCTACCAGCTCGCCAGAAATATGTCCCCTGCTGCCCCACGAGCCCCTCCTTGCTGTGGGTAAGCATTGCCCCTCTGGCAGGCAGAATTCTGCACTAAGCTCCTAATGCCTGACTGGAAACTAATGTACCCAGAAGTTTCCTTTTGGCACAGGAGTAGAGTAGCCCAGGAACCAGACTGTTGTCTGGGAGAGGAGACAGAAGCCAGCCCATTTATGAAGAACTGTCTACTTGGCAGGCAGAGGGACAGGCTCCCCTTAAAGGTTATCTCATTCCTTCTCCACACCCCTGCGAGGTGGTTTTATCACCCCAGGTGTATAGATGACGACGCCAAGGTTCAGAGAGGCTAAGTGACTCACTAAGTGCCATACAGCCACCACCACATGGTAGAGGTAGTGTTCAAAATGGGCTTTGTCAGCCCTCAGGCTTGTGACATTTACACTACTGAGAAGCCTGCGTGCTGGGGAAGGGGCAGGGAAGAGCACACTCAACATCGCTGATTTTACAGTCGAGCCAGTGGGTCGCCTTGGAATCCCTGCACCTCTGCTGCGGGCCCCAGTTGCTTCTGCATCTTGGCCCCTGTCCTTTGACTACTTTGGAGACTAGATGCTGGATTTTTGAGCCTACTTCTGGCCATGGCAGGAAGCGTCCTAGGGACAGGTGATAGGTTTGGGGGAGGCAGCAGCTGGCCACCATCATAAAGCCAAGTGTGGGAGCCAGGTCTCCTGACTGCCAAGGCTTGTGCTGTCCTCATGGCCAAGGGCTCCATAGGTGCTCCCAGATAGAAGTCTGAAGCTCTGGGGATGTTTTATCTGGACCTGGGCAGCCCCATCCTGGCTCTCTCAATGCTTGACAGGTGGTCAGGACCCAGGGGGCCCTGGGGACCTGGGGGGCCTGGGCACATTTGG